ACTAATAGCAAAGACAGACAAAATATGACAATGAGACTAAGGTTGTAATCATCTGTAATTCACCTATTTACAGTAATTTAGTCCTGATAAATATCTTGGTGTATACAGACACTGTTCCATCTGCCTCTCATATCTCTGCTTCTCTGTCTGTTTCCTATTATTTCTCCTTCTCTTTTGGTCTTTCTTGTAAAGGAGATAAAGTTGAGCAGTGTTACAATAAACATTCCAGAGGGTGTCACCCACCCGGAGCCTAATTAGAGACCCGGGAGGCCTAGCAAGATGGATGATGGCTGTGTGTGTCAGCGGAGAGAGGCGGAGGAGAAGGAGGAGGAGGAGGATAAGGGGGTTGTGGTGCTACAGTGGCTGCTGGTTATGTGCAGGTGGCTGGATGTTGGCTACTTGGCTTTTATCTTGGCTTTGAACACGGGTAAGCTCAGGGGCCTGTACAGGTGTGTGTGTGTGTGTGTGTGTGTGTGTGGGTGTGGGTGTGGGTGTGCGTGTGTTTGTGGATAGGAGTTGAGAGAAGATGGTGGTTTGGGGGTTGTTACTGGGACAGATGAGGCCAGAGGCAGTCATTTGTCAAAGAAAGACCACTTCAACAGAGCTTTGCTGGGGTCAGAGAGTGACACCGTAATGTGTGTTGTGTTGTGTGTGCAACCACTAATGATGTGGATCATATAGACACTGATGTGGCCGTGTGGGGGTTGTTGGCCGGGTCGTACAAACTTCAGACAACAACCAGATGCTTTGGTTGAGTAATCGCATTGACTCACTGTGTCCCCCATAGGAGTAGACGCAAGACGTTGTGCGTCAAGCGTGTTTTGTTTTTAATTAATGAAATGAGCCAAGCGATGGCAGAGATAATTTTGGCACTGAGGAGAACGATCCCGACAGCAAACAGTGACTCAGTGGTAATGTCAAAGAGGGGGACAAAATCGTCATCCTTCTCCTTGTCACGTTGCTGCCAAAAAACAAAAAAAAAACAACAGAGACCTGTCTGTTCATCAGAGTAAATGACACACTTCCCAGAATCCCCTAAATTTAGCCTCAGAAGTGATGTGTGCAATCACTGGAACATACTACTTTTACAGGATCAGTTTACCAGAGAAATCAGTTCGTCTTGCTTTTATATGCTCAGGTTTTCAGATATCTAAGATTTCCAACATTGCACAATGTTGAAACAAGTCTTTCCAGAAACAATATCCTGGTTTTATCTGGGCAATATACAAAACAATAGACTGTGATCTGTTTTCATTGGAAGTAGTTCCTACTGAGGCCGCAAGTAATGATTATTTTCACTACTGATAATTCTGCAAGTTATTTTTTATATTTAACTTATTTAGTGAAAAATGCTAATCACAACTGACAATAGCAGTGGTTGTGTTGCTTGTTTTGTCCAACCAAAGATATTCAGTATACTATCATCATCAACAAGATAGAAAACTCTCCCTCTAGTGTGGACCTCAAACAATTAAATACAGGTGCCTTCCATGGAGTCCGCCATGTTGAACCGCCAGGTTTCTGCAGTAGCCCAGAAGGGACAAACCAAACACTGGCTCTAGATAGGGCCGTTCAAACTTTTCACACAGCCACCTAGTTTCTCCTTTGTGCTTGAAAGGGTAGGGTGAAGCGAGGGTGTTACGATCTACAACTACACTGCTAGAGGCTACTAAATCAAACACACTGGACCTTTCATCAGAATATTTGCAGATACATTTCCCATGGACACAATGTGAAGTCTGTAAATTATCTTGAATAACCAAGAAAATGTGTCTGAAAAGTTTTTTAAATGTCATTTTTAATGCTGTGAGCACCTCAAAAAAATTTCCATTTACCTTTTTTGTATTGAAGTGGTGGTATAAATGTCAGCGACGGTCTGCATGGTTTGATACCAGGGGAAATTATGTTGTTTTGTTTTTTTTTGTTGTAATCTTGAGTAAAAACAAAAAAAGTTAAGTTGTATGCTTTCTCTCTCTCAGGTGAAACAAAATGACACATCAAAAAAACATTTTTCATGGCAAAGCAAAAAGACTTTTTGTCACTCATGTACAATGCACCCAAAGATTCTTGCAGATGCCAAGAACAAAAGCATAGAAGAAAAAATACTTTTGACCACAGAGGAGAGATATGTGGTATTAAGATTCAGGGCCAGGCACTCGTGTTTACCCTAGAGGAAACAAGGACATGACATAGTCTTGGCTCCTGAATTTGTGAATTCAAAGCATCTGGGCCAGCTTCTAATTCAACTATGCATAACTTCCCATTGGCAGGCAGGTCAGGGATGCCAGAGTACTTTCTAATACATCTCAGTGGATTATTCTTGCTACGACCTCCAGCCGCTGTCTTGCATAACTCAGCAGGCAGGACACACCGGCGAAGGGTGAAGGGCTCAGCTCTCACTGCGGCCACCCATGCTAACAATGCAAATACGTGGTACTTTGAGGAACTTTAGATACTTGTTATTATGATGTTCTCGACCCAATGAAAAACAGCTGAACTGTCTAAAAGGCAAAATGCCAAAAGAATAAAGTGTGAATGTCATGTGTGGAAGTGCCAAGTTTTATCTGCAGAGAGAAAAAAGACAGAACAGAATTACAGTAACTCCAGCAGACCACAAGGAATGTGGCCAGGCAGCCTGCACAGACAAGCCCAACATGTGATCACACACACACACACACACACACACACACACACACACACACACACACACACACACACACACACACACACACACACACACACACACACACACACAGAGAGAAGACAAAGGAAGCCTTGCTACCATAACTGCACAGCATCACAGACTGATAGCAGGAAAGATGGGAGGTAATGACAGGACTCCAATTCAAGTTAATTTTTATATGGACACTATTTTTTATTCAGTCTGAGAATACTGAGACTGCTTTGTTTGAGGACATACTCATAACAAGCCACATACAAAATGATGATAACAATATAAAGGATACACTGGTGGAAAAAGAAAAATCTTACATAAAGGTCCAATTACAAAGATCTATTTGTTAGCTGCAGCCCTTTACAAGTATTATCAGTCGAATGTACTTTAAGTATCAAAGTAACAGTATGGTACTGATATATAAATGTGCAAGACACATATTAATGTTGTAGCTAATTGAGGTTGAGCTCATTTACATACTGATAAGTAGATTCATCTATAAGAAAATCATATTTTCTAAGTGTATTATATGTTTTGTATGTAAAGTTGCAAATAACTATAGCTGCAAAATAAATGTAGTGGAGTATATTAGTTCAATATTTCCCCCTGAAAGGTAGTGGAGATTAAGTTTAGAGTAGTAGAAAATGAATATACTCAAGTTAAGATGTAAATTGTTCTACAAAATACAGTATTTGAGTAAATGTTCTTGGTTATTTGACACTGTAGGATATTCAATGCATTTAATGTCAGTTAGTTACTTTAGACTTAAAAGGTTAGACATCTCAGTCTTAGCAGTAAACCGACAGTATGGCTAAACTATAATAATCTGTTTGACTCAAACAATCTCAGTCTTTCCCTGTAATATAAGTGCAGTTTTTACCAGCCAGTGTCTCAAGGCCACACAGTTACATTTCTCAAAAGGGCACACGTCATGGTAGATTACTTTCCCTGTGCACCCCATCTCAACCCTGTCGGTTTTGGCAAAATAAATGTTGGGCCTTTTTTCTTCAAGAACGGTGAGATCATGCTGGATTTTCTATTTTTAGGCTGACTGTTTTTGGCTTGGACGTTTCTTCACTACGCTGCACGATGCTTTCAGTGAAACACACGAGGGTGCTGTTTTACACTCCATATGAGACTGTCAGTCTGAAAATGGCAAAGAGGTGAGAAGCACTGATGGCTGACAGTGCACCTGTTTATATCCAGTAAGGAAGATTTTACACAAAAATCTTAAATAGAGACATGTGAAGGGGATTCAAGGAGTACAAGGAGTTTTTTCGCATCCTGATTTTGTATTCTGACCTGTTTCTTATGACATATCAGCAGCAGAATGAAATCTGCTCATTTGTCTGTGCAACCCAGTTTAGCTAAATAAACATTTCACCAATTTCTGTGAATTAGAAAAATCTAATCCATCTAACTGTGGAAATAAACAAATAAAAGTCACACCAAGAAGGATTTTCTTTGATTCCCCAAATTGTGCCAAGGGACATCCAGTTATTCCCACCTAAGGTTTTACTTCTATTTATTAAGTGTTATCATAGGTTTGTGTTTTGTTATCATGTGTTTCTTTGATCATAACTCCAGCAGCTGGAACAAAATCAACTCTCCAACAAATACTTAAGAAATGAACTGATTTCCCTTGCCTCATACACATCTTAATTAATCTCCATTGTATTAAGACACATACTGTAACCGCTGCCTATGTGCCACTCTTTCTCACTCACTCCCCCCTTCTCCTTACTGTGGCAATAAAAATGATGTATTGCTGAGGTCCTTTGACTTGCCTTTGTGTGCAATTTAGTACTGAATATAGCCCAGAAGTTTCCAAATGTAATGAACCCCCCAATTAGATTTAGACCCCGAACATAAAAAACCAAGACAATACTCCCATCATATTCCAGAAGAGACATACTGTCTGTCTGGTACCGCATAGCATGTTTATGGTAATTTTATCTCCTGTGGCCTCAATCACCTGCCTGTAATATCACTGTAGGGACCTAATAGTAAATGCACAATGGCCGTTTGGTGCTTTTTACCCTCTGGAATAGTTTTTCTGTGATTTCCCTGCGTGTTCTTTAAAGTTCTGCTGTAACAATAAACCTATCATCGAGTTATTGCCGTGGGAACATGCTTTCAATCCAGTCTTTAAACAGACAAAATCAGTTTATACTATTACTAACCAGCAGTTCATTGCACCACAGAGTCCACCCTCCAGCCCCAGCACCGACACCCATCCTCCCTCCCTCCCTCCCTCCCTCCTCTTTTCTGTCTGCTGCTTCCCCAGCGCTGCAGGTTGAATCTATTGCCCCTATTTCCTGTCACATGGGTTGGAAATAGGATCCCTGCTTTCTACTATCTGTTCCCGTCTTTGTGGTGTCAGTGTTGTAGTAGCTGTAGGACCTGCCTTGAAGTTCAGGGACTTTAAACGGCGGCCAAAGCGCAACTCCTGCACAGACCCGGACAGTCAACCAGTCAGTCAGTCAGTCAGTCGGTCCCGCAGCCCGCCGGTCTGCGCATCTGTCCACCAGGCTGCACTTCACCTGAGAGCCAGTTCACACTGTTTAAACACACGATGGATTCCTGGACAGTCACCTCTGCACTTCTTCTCGCCGGGGTTATTTCTTCCGCGGCTTTTAATCACTTCGACACCGGTAAGTCAAAACTTTTCCGCTCGTCTTTTTCTGAGCATGCATTCCGACACATATCTGCGTTGTCGGAAGCGTCTCCAAAGTTGCTCTCTTGCGCAGCGGGGCAAGCTGTTATCATGTCCCAAACACTGCAACGCACACCCGCAAGTACGTTCATTTGAATGTTATAGAGGTATTTTCTCCTATTTGCTGTGGGACATGTCACAGATTGCAGTCGCAGGAACTTCATTCATAGTTCATCGCCTTTGGTCCGAATCCCACTACGGCGCTGTTTCCCAGACTGCACGATGCCTTTCACTGGGATGTTTACAGACGGCGGCCAAAGCAAAAAGATAAAGTGTTATGTTGTTGTTTGATTAGTTTGAAGACAAGAGAGTGAGGTAATGTAAGCGGAGTCCGATTAGACCACAGTTTCACGTCAACGCCTACGGGGTAAACACTTGTGGTCCAAACCGTATCCAAAGGTGTCCTCGGATCTGTAGGCAAACTGCTACCAAATGGGGGTCCATGTAAATCTAGGATGGACTTAGAAATAACCAGGAACCGCTGTTATGCTGTTCTGAAAGCTACGTTACAATTAAATGAGGGAAAGGACGGGCTTTTAACCCAAACTAGCACCTTTTACGCACTCTAGCACATCCTGCGCCTCCAGTCCTGATGTGTTTACCTGCTCTGCGTCAGCTGCGTTTAGCTGATCAGCCAGTCAGTCTTTTTGATTGGTCACGTTTTCAAGAGCTATGCAAGATCACGCTTATGTTTTTTTTTTAATTATTTTTATCTCCATCATAGTATTAGTTTTGGCTGCACTGCGTAACTATCTATTGTGTCTTTAATTGAAGCATTCAAAGATCAGTACCCCCCCCACCGAAATGAACTCGACACCCCTCAGCTCAGTCATCTGATAATATCCATTTAATTTGCCATCAAGGTAATACGCAGGGATGTGCTTGCGTCTATCTGCAGAACTTCAAAGTTACAGCCGGATAGCCATTCAAAGCATGCCTTCCCGGAGAATATTTTGTTCTAATGTGAATATCTAATAATGATGACCACACTAACCGAGCTTCTCCTTGCTGTAATTTGTGCCGCGTTTCATGTCGAAGCAGCAAATCCTCATGCTTTCCTTTTTAATTTTTTTGTCTCTTAATTATACCCTTGGATTTCAAATTAGAGGGTCCACCATCTGGGCTAGTGCGTAAGTACTCCCATGTGTACCTATGTATTAACAAAGTATTTAAAGCAATGGTATTCCCCCTCATAACATTGGGGAGAAGAAAGGCCAAGTTTATGTTTACTTTAAGTCAGCTGTGCCATATTTACTGTACAGTAAAACAATAATTTCATGCTGCCTATAAGAAGTCAGTCTCTTGGTGTAAATGCAAATAATGGCTGTTTGATGCTCTCTTTGCTCTGTTTGATATATTTGGACTGTGCAGGTCAAACTGAATGTGAAACCTACCAACACCTAACACAGCAATTAGTTCCTGCCTCCACTCTTGTTTAGTATTGAACAATCTGAGTGTTCTACCTCTGTGCTTACGTTGGGAGAAATTTCAATCACATGAGATTATGGTTGATGCAAAATGTTCATTCTCTGGAGACTGGTGAAAGGCATTCTGGTAAATATAAGAACCCCTAACCTGCTTCATCCTCATCTTCAGTGGACACAAGCAGAGCGGCAAAAAATAACTCCAGGATTGCACTGAACTAGTTAATGGATATTATGAGAGTGCTTCTTAAACATCCTTGGCACGTCTGTGAAGTAAATCTGAGCATGTGCACATAAAAACAGCAGAATTTTGCTTTAACTACTAAAGCTAGGCCATGCAGCAGTTTATTAATTTCCTGCAGAACGCCAGCCACTGTTGCTTTTGTGAGCAAGTGTCTAAAACAATTATTCTGGAGTGCTTTCACTGTCCTGGTCGACTGCATCATTGCATCAAGCAGAAGTGTACTAACAGCAAAAGTGTTTTTCATCTTGCTCTGAGGAATAATTATAAATGTGTTCAGTGATATGCGCGCACACACACACACACACACACACACATACTAACAGGAAAAGAGTGAAAAATGTAGCTGAGGGTTAGAGACGACATGTAGTAGTTGGATAGTTGGAGCAGCTAAGTGCCTTTATGCAACCTATAATGGGCCCATCCTGCACACTTCCTACTCCCTGTATAGTGTTAGTTCACCATAGACTCTTATCATTAATGTATATGATTTCTCTTCCACCTGAACTCAGAGGCTTCATAAAGATACTCCCACATGCTGTTTCTGTCTGATTGCGGCCTGCCATTGCTCACTTGGCAGCTGCTTAGGCCCTTCACACAAATGTACACACTAGTGGAAGCTGAGTCCTGTCAAAGCTGTCAAGATGAGCCGTAATTGAGTTGCTCTTTAAGCCGGTAATGATGTAGCTGATGGTGTTGGTGTCGTGAACAAGCTCAAGCTGGTTAATCAGCGGGAGATTATTCTGTCCTTGATGTTCCTGTATCCATGACCCGTCTTACTGGCAAGTTGACAATGGAGACCAGTGGCGAGAGTCCCACAGTACACCACTCACCCACATGTATGTGTTTCGTTCATGTAAATGATGCATCTTGAAGGTTCCAGTGTTGCTCCTACAGCAAGGTGGCTCACCTCTAAAGTGATCCGTTTTAAATTCAGTGGCAGGTGGAGCTGTTAGTACATGCAGGGATAGTGGTTTCCCACTTTGGATTGCCAGATGATTAAAGAAATAGTTTGACATATTGGGAAATATACTTCTTTGCTTTCTTACTGAGAGTTAGAGAAGATCCATACTACTCTAATATCTGGTTAGCTTAGCACATAGACTGAAAACACAGTGAAACAGCTAGGGGATACCTACCAGCACCTCCTAAACTCACTAACTACCATGTCATATTACATTTGTCTAATCTGTACAAAAACGTGCAATTTTGAGGCAGAGAAATAGTTCGATACATATCCCCTGTTAAACTGTAACTTGTAATTTGTACACTTTGGTTTTTGCACAGATTAAACAAAGTAGACATAATAAAGTAAGCTTGGTAAGTGGCATTTGTTACCATCTAAAAGAGCCAGGCTAGCTGTTTCCCCCTGTTTTCAGTCTTTGTGCTAAGCTAAGCTAACAAGCTGCTGGCTATTACTTAATATTTAATGGACATATATGAGAGTGGTATCTTCTCATTTAACTCTCTGCTGGGAAGCCGATAAGTATATTACAAATATTGAACTGCTGCTTGGAGTGGATATTTTAATCTTTCTCCAGTCTTTGCAGTTTTCTTGTGACATTCTACATAATTTCTACCCATTAAGGCTGATTGATTGATTGATTGATTATTGAAAATAAAGAATCTAAAAAGGCAAAATCACTCTTGCATTGAACTGCTGGCAGCAACACAAAACAAGCGGAGTCACAACCTGTGTATCACTGGACTTTTTTGTCTATTGCCTTTAAAGGAAAACAGTTAGCTTTGCTTGTGTCGAGCTGAGGCTTGAAAAGGGCAGGCTGTGACATTTTAGCAATATGGAATGCGCTCTCATTATGTGATCACAGAAGACAGAGCTGTCAGAAATAAAGCCTGATGAAGAAAACATCAGGTTAATATCAGGCTGTGCTCGACCAACTGAATCTTGGACTGATCGGGCGAAAAGAGAGTTGCCTCATGGGCTTTCTTTTCATCTGCAGGCTTTGCCAAGTCTCTACTTAACTAGAAATGCATGAAATAACTTGTAAGGCCACACTGGGGAGATTTGCAAAGGCTGATTTTCTGTGTGGTGAGGAATCTTATCTAACTGACTTGCCGCAGGTGAATCAACTCGATTATTTCCAGACTAGACCAGAGATTATTTAAGGTTTTACTCTCATTCAACACGGGTGCCCTTCTTTCTTCCTCGAAGCATTGTAGGCACCAAATAGAGTGATGGGGGGATGAATGACGGCATGTGTTCTTACTTCTCTTTGTGGCCTAACATGCATATAAGCAGAAGCATAAACTGGCAACCGTCTGTTTCATCTGGCAGCCTGTACTCTTTCCTGTTCCCTGTCTGATCGCTGTCCAACAGGGCATGATGTTGGCCCTGACTGTCAGATTCATTGCACTCGGCCACAGATGTGGCGCTGTGTGGTGCAGTAGAAGAGGCGAGGTGACCGGAGCATGGTTTAAAACACCGAATGAACTCCTGAACAGTAGCCCGCCTTAAAGTTTGTATTGTAGTTTTTTATGCTGGCAACAGACGTGATTGACGTGTGTTGATAGGAGTCTACAGTTTGTTTTCAGATGTTTGGCTTAACATCAAGTGTGTTGTGTGTGTTTGTGCACACATATGTTCACCTGTCTGTGATAAGCAGGGGAAAGGATGCCAGAAGCTTTTTAACATTTCCATGTGTGCAAGTCCGGGATTATTTTTGTGCGCGGATTTTGGCTTCTCTACATGTGTAGGGCTGCAACTAATTATTTTTATTATGAGTTACTGTAATTTGTTGAGGTTCAAAGTTCTCCACAAGGTCCATTTAGAGCGTCATTTGGAGCTTTAATTTGATTATATCGCATGGTCAGCTTCATCTGCAGATGGAGTTTGCTCAGTTGTCATGGAACTGTCCTAAACGCTTCATGGACTTGTATTCTGTTGATTATTTGTATAATAAATCAATTAATACATCTAAATAATTCCCCCAAAAAGTGAAAACAGTCATCACTGCTTACTGACATAGTTGGTGGTGTGTGACTAAAGCGTTAGGCACTTACATAGTGCAACAACAGGCGTACAGGGCACAGAGTGGGAATGACAGAGGCACCATTCACCCTACCACAAGTCAGCGTAGCATCAAAATGATTTTGAAGCTATTTTAAGGTATAAATGTTAATGTTGTTTTAAATGATATAAAATGAATAAAAACAGCACATTCTCACAGTTAGGAATCTTAAAATTGATGATTCATTTTTTGTCATTCTACTAATCAATTAGCTAATAATTTCAACAATACATGTGTGTTTAAG